GAACCTTGGGGTGTCCTGTGCTGGACCAGGAGTTGGACTTGTGCATGATTCCTGTGAATCATTTCCATATCAGGATAGCCAGTGATTCTATGAACTCATTTAACTCAAAGGAAGACATGTGTTTGCATCTATTTCAAGACTAGGGCCGTTTTGGGAATATGGGAATGTTTTTTGAAATCTGATTTACATCCTTGCATTATTCTTCCTTAAACTGAAGCCATTGCCACTGTCCAGCAACTGATTTGGCTCCACTGGGTTGTACTCCTGCTGTGTGTCACATCAAACTATGTCCACCTTCTTTGTTTAGGTATTGCAAATTATAGCTATGCACATCATGTCTTCTGCATCCTTCTAGAGATTACAAATCTGTCTTCTGACTTTTAACATTAGTGTTAATTTTAATGTAAGAGCAGAAATGCACTTGGAAACTGTCCAACAAAGCTTTTGTTAAGGATTTCCAATATCATAAGAAAAGAAGAGAAAACCAAAAGCTGCCTAACAGACTTACTAATTTTTGAATAATAAAAATGAACTGGCAAAATGGGATTTGGAATTTCAACTTTTATAAAGGTATTATGACAGGTGAATTAAAGCTGTATTTTATTTATTATTTGCTCATGCATCTCTGAGAAATATTCTGGCTACGCTTGTCAGGCACTTTTGTAAACTGTCTTAAGCCTAACAGTTGCATATTAGATATCTGCCTCTGCTGCCAAGTGACACTGCTATCCCTGTACCTCATGGCCACTTTTCTCCCTGGGCAGCAATGCTGTCAAAGGCATAACAGTGTGCTGAGCAACAACATCAACTGGTCAAATAACAGCAAGAGCACTTAGAATTGGAAAATCCAACATTGCCCTTGCTGCTGATCAGATCTTCAATTAAAAAAAACAAAAAAAACAAAAAAAAATTATACAGTAATTGTCAATAACTTCTCCTAATTATGATTCTTCAAAAACAACAGACTGAGGATTGCCAGGAAATAACACTGTCCTAATGTCAGGTCTCCCCAGAAGTTAGTTTTGAACCATTTTCTTAAAAGAAAATTTTTAAAATCCTTTAGCATAATTAAGCAATTAATTAAATTTAGACATTATTAGAGAAAGACTACCACTACATCCTTAAGAATGAATACCTGTATTTGTCAAAAACAAATATATGCTTGAAGCATTTCTCTTGTACCTCAGAAAGAAATCTGTCCAGTTTGAACCTTTTATTATCTAAAATTAAGTTCTCTAGAATTCTTTGCTGAGGTACCAGGAAAGCAGCTATTCAATAACTGTCATTACTGTGGGATGCAGGGACATGATGGAGAGCTGCTGCAAATTAAACCAGACCCAATAACTCCTATCAGCCAAAGCTTACCACGTTAGCTACTTTTTCCCAATCCCTACCGCCTCCTTTTACTCTTAATGAATTCACAATTAATTTTAAAAGGCTCCAGACAAAGAGAAAGAAACAAACAAATTAAAAAAAAAATACTATGCAAAGAAGAATTTAAGAATATTTCACTCATCCGTTTTCTCTCCAACACTTCCAATACCAGGCAAACAATTTCACTAAGAAGCACAAGGAACTAGTTGAAGCAAATACATGGAATCAGAACAATTTCAGCTCTGCAGGAATTTCAGGCAAACATCACTGTGGCCACATCTACAGTTGGAGTTCCCCACATCTCTTGTAAATTCCTCCATTAACAGAATGGCTCTTCAGCACTCAGGGTACAGCATGCATGTACCCTGAGGCCTCACTTCAGCAAAAACTCCTCATTGGGCCTTCAAACAGGTTGCAACAAATTCATTTAATCTTAAATACAGCATCTGAGTTCACAAAAGAACAGAGGTGGGTTGTGTTCAAATCTTTTATAGTACAAGCTGTGTTGCTGCCACTTGGAAAAAGAAAACCCTACAAAATCAGCAAGCCAATGAGCCACACTATATTAAGATCCATTTGAACAATTAATTAGGAAGACACCAGTAGGATGTTACAGATTTTTACTTCCTCTGTGGTCAGTCAATAATTAAATATTGATCAGTTTTAAAGAAACCAGATCATATTTGTTCATCTGAACTTGTCCTGTGCTTTCAGAAGAGATAAAACAGTTGAATTTTGAACCTCTTTACCATGCTCTTGAACCTATCACAGTCCTCAACTTGACATCTGTATAAGAAAAAGCCTAAAACAAACCAAAAACCAAAACACCAAACCCCACAACTTTGCTACAGTTTTGAGATCTAGAAACAAACTGTTTCTATATTTGAGAATCTTTTTACATAAACAATTTGATACAAATTGGCATCAGAAGATGTTTTTTAACTCATCGAACTGGATGTGGATTACTAAGTGTTGCACATGATTAAGTTAGGCTATTCACTTCGACAAAAAGTCAGTATAAAATACCTACTGTGGCCTACAAGGTCTTACTGTAAGTAATGAACAAAAGATGCTGGCCCAATTTCATCCCTGTTACAACAGAAATCAATTTAAGAAATCGTTTCAATGAAGTAAAACTCAATCCTCTCCACAATACTGAAAGAGTACATATGAAACTTCAAAATCTGTTCATGTGTACCTTGACTTGCACTCACTATATACCCCTCTTCTGCCTAACCTGTCATTGTACAGCATCAAGTCTGTGATTATACACTTTTAAATTCAGTGCCTCCATGAATGCTCACTTCCTGGATTTTGATTTTCTTTGTAGGTTTCAAGTAACATGATTATCTCAGAGGGAGCTGTAATGAAATGTTATGCAAACTTTGTGAGGTGGATAGAGGATATGAATATCTTCATTATTGGCCATAAGCGATCATATGTCAAAGACTATCCATTCAAAATGATGTGTCTCAAAGTAATTGGTTTGTCTCCTGGAATGGAAGAGTGGAGTGTAGGAAATAACTTCTTTTGCAAGAGAACACTCAAAACCCTCAAAAATTCATCTGAATACAAAAAATAACCTTGCTCTAAAACTGTATAAGCAAAATATAATTTATAATTAAATAGACATTTTATTTATATTCATGCAATAGCCTATCTGTTAAACACTCATGAGTAATACAGTTGCCTTAAATAATAAAAAAAGTATTTTCATGTATCTACTGTTAGCATATCAGTGTACTTTGGGGTAGTCACAATAAATGTAAATTAAATAAATATTTTATTGGAAGCAAGGGATATCAGTGCTCCAATTTGTTTCTCTTTGCATTGTTTAAATAGGCTGTGGGAGTAAAAATAACTGGATCAAATGAGAGGGAAACCCCCAGAAGAACATGCATTACAGATTACAGAAACAGCTTTTCACACAAATGCTGCAGGGACTACTCTTGTGACAAAATACTGACTTAATAAAAATAATAATAACCCCCAGGAACAACAACAACTAAAAAAAATGCAACAAAACCACTCACAAAATAAAGGTTTTGCACTTTCAATCTTCAGGCAAGTTAAAGGCTATTTTCTTTCTTCCTGCTAATACTGTGATAAGGTTAAATATACAGGTACCTGACCATTCAGCTACCAGATATCAAACTGTTGATAGATTAATCCCCCCTGCAATTAATAATTATTAATTTGATCACAGATATCAACATGTAGCAAAATCTGTTACAAAAGGCACAGCTCAGATTTCTGTGCTTTTGATGTTTTAGCTGTACAAAGATAAGGCACTGACCTTTATTCTTGATTGACAATGGGAGAATACTTCAACCACAAGCTTACTACAGAAGGCTTGTCAGTGTCAAGAATCACAAAATTGTGTTAAAAGGCAGACAGAATTCAGTACCTTCCTCAGCATTTGAAATGTGATCTTTCCAAAAGATCATCAGTTCTTGTCATTTCCCTGGAAGTATAAACAACTCAAGTTTGAGATTTCACTAAGAGGGATAAAATACTCTCTGCAGGTTAGGGGGAAGAGAGGGTTACAGTCTATGAACTACTTGGTAAAGGACCTTCTTTCAGGTTTCCTCTTTAAAGGACTCTACTATGCCATCTAGGATTTTCATGTAATAAAGACAATTTATCCTTCTTATCAGACCATTTCTATTCAAAGAGAGTTGAGGTGGCTGTACCAGAAGAAATATTTTCCTGTGCCTCTTGAAGTCAATGTGACTGTGATTGCAAATTACTAATGTAAAGAACAGCAGACTGTTGCATTATGCAAGCCCATCCACATTCTTTTGCATCCCTGTAAATGCAGCTACTTTCCTGTCTTGATTGTACTGTACACTCTAACAATGGGTTTCACCTAATAAGCTATTCAGGAAACTTACATAGCATGCAGGTCATCTCAATCCATTTCCTTGCTGTTACAAGTAACATGAAGAATGCTTTCAAACATCATCTGAGACAGGAACACTTTGAAGCACCTTAAATTCTCATAAAATATTCACTAGAGCTATCCACAGTATCAGTCCTATTGTGGCCTCAAACACAGTTAAGTCATGTACTACTGCTGCAGCAAGAAAAGTCCTGAAGGAAATCTCTACCCCACATAGGTAGAGCATGTTCAAAGTCCCATGCACGGAGAAGGAAAAGATGGGGGAGGGGGAAGATGAAAATCACATCTAAAATTAAAAACAAAACAAATAAACAAAAAACCAACCACCAGTTCTTTTAGCTATTCTAGAACTACATTATAATCACCATGAGATAAATGTTCTAACCTCCATCTGCACAATCCCAATCTTTCTCCTCCCACATCAGTGCTGAATTTGCTGGAGTAGAAGAAGGAATCAGCCAAGAATGTTAAAAAAATATTTCCAATTAGAAGGAGACTTGCATGTAGTCTGGAACAGTACTGACATCCCATTCATCTCAGATCTGACCACTATGGGACCTCTAAATAGCTCCTTTCTCTATCATTTGGGAAATGCCATGCCCAACTACTGGAGCAACACTTTTCTTCTGGAGTCCCAGCTGACAGACAGCCTAACAGAGTACCTAGAAATTAAAATAAATAAATAAATAAATAAAAAGTGGGGGGGACAAAGAAGCTGGCTTACGTGCTCCAGTTTGTCTTTCCTCCTCAGCCAGACACTGGCACTGTAGTCCTGCTGCTTGACAGTGCTGTAGAAGTTCGCACCTACTCTGGTGAGGCTTGGGGAAGGCTCCCTGGGTCTGCTCTTCAGCCTCATCTGCTCGAAGCCCTCATGGGGGGATGAGGAGAGCCAGTCATGCCTGACTTCCATCTTGACATGACAAGGCAAAGTCCAAGGGAAAAAAATCAGAAGAAATCAAGAAATTAAGAGGTACTAAACGAAGATGGTCCAGAAAGGGACAGAATGGGAGAAGAAGAAAGAAAAGGAAATCAAAAAATCCCTTAAAACCAGAAAATGGTAAGAGAAGGGGGAGACAAGCAGAGATAAGGTAGGAGTGGAGAGAGAAAGAAAGGAAGGCTGCAGGTACGAGAGAGGAGCGGGCTGGGAGAGATGAAGGGGCACTCGGGAAAGAAGACGCTCCAAGATGCCGCTGCTTGTTGCCCTGGCCGCCAGGAAGCTGCAGTCCAGGAGCGACGCAGCGGGAAGCGGCAGCCTGCGGCTCTGCCCGGGACGGAGGCGAGGGGCGGCGCGGCCCCGGCAGCCGAGGCCGGGCGGGGCTGCCGCCTCCAGCCCGCCTGCAGGTTGGCGCAGTGGAGGGGCCGCCGCCCGCCTGGGGATGAGCCCGGCTCCTCCCCCGCCTCCCCTCCCCGCAGCCACCTTCGGGGGAGCAGCCAGCGGCACGGGAGAGCCCCTTCCTTTTGACAGGAGCTGCCGCCGCCGCCCTCCTGGGGCCCCCCGTACCCCTGGGGAAGTTGTCTCGTCTGCTCTGCCCTCGTCCCGGCGGCACCGACCCGCCCGCAGCCCGCCGAGGGCTGGGCGGCCGCTTGCCACTCCCTCTCCTGGAAGCCTTTGTCCGATCTCCCCTCGGCGGAGCTCCCGGGGCCGCCGCCCGCTGCCCTGCCCAGCGCATCCCGGGGTGGGCTGTGCCCCTCACGCCGCCCGGCCCCGCCGCGGCCGGCGGGGGCGGCGGGGCTGCGGCCGCCGGGGCACCGCGCCCGCCTCTCCCTCCCGCAGCACCTCGCCGTCACCGCGTCCCCTCCTCCCTGGGCAGGGGCTCACGGCTCTCTCGGGCGTAGCCAGACCGAGCTGCCGGCCCTTTCGCCGGGGCAGCCACGAGCGCACCTCGCCTGACCAGGAGGAGAAAGCCCCGGCTCGGCTCCGAGTCCCGCCTGGAAGCCCCCGCCGCCGCAGCGGCTCAGCCGGCACCAGACCTCAGGAACCGAACCTCTTCTGTGGTCCCGATGGACAAGGTCGCTGGGATGTCCACATTCGTAGATCCCTTGCATCTAGGATTTCTCTCACTAAATAAAAAGACCTTCTAGGGTGGTTTCTATAGTCCGCTGCCACCTCTTTTAGTAGAAGTTGATGTGTGTTGCTATTTAGCACAAACGTGTTTCAGCAGAAAAAAGGACTTTCCTTTTTCACACTATGAAAAGCCACCTCGCTAATTGCCCACACACTCTGTAAAGCTATATTAGGCATAGACAAGAAAACTTTCTCACACTGCGCATCAAGAAATATTTACTGGAGCTCAGAACAACATTTCAGTTTCCTGGTCAATATTTGTCATCAGGCAAGTGTTTGCATATATTCCAGTCCTTTGGAAATAGGTGACTCTGAGTATGTATGATTGATACATCAGCATCTGCAGATTTTTTTTTTTTTCCCTGCTACCCAACTACACTGATGTCGCTATTCTAATAAAGGGATGCTGAACTAGAGGTCTACACTCGAATGCAGTTAACTGATAATAGCCTTTGAATGGTAAAGAAGTTCAACCAGACAAATTTCTGCAAAAATTACAGAGGGGCCCTCAGCTAATCACTTGATCTACAGTGAGCGCTACTTCCATCTGATGAAAAGGCAAATTTAAAATATCCTTATGATTGGATTTAAGGTTTATTACTGTAAAATAACGGCCAGAAACCAGACAGATAATTAATTTTTTCCTGTTAAAATTGTAAAGATAAGGCAAAACTCACATCATAACTCATAAGTGAGGGTTATTTATAATAGATAATACTAGTATATTTGTGAAATACTGGAAAAATAAACTGAACAGTAGTGGAGGTTTGATAGGAACATAAATTACAGCATCTTCCTCTAAAACTAGAAACACAATTTCAAAATCCTTACCTAAATACTACTACAAAAATGAGTGTAACAAAATGCTAACAACCAGAACCATCAATATTATATACTTTTAACTCACCAATATAAAGGGCTTGTAGTTTTCTTTCTAATAACTTTCTAGTTTCTTCAGTTAGGAAATGTAGGTATTTCAGGATTGTCAATACAGCCTCAAAACACCTGGATCAAGAATGAGACCTATGTGATCCTGCTGCATGCAGGACACACTGGAAGGCACTGAGATTTAATGTATGGCACATCTCAGCTGCAGCAGTTTTGAGCTCACACAGAATAACTTGATTAGAGATCTGCTGAACTGATCTTGAGCTGCAGACGCCCATTTAGGAATTCTATATGCTCATACATGCACCTATTCCCAAAGGACTGGAATAAATGCATACATTCAGTCAGAAGAAAGGAAAAGAAGGGAAAACAAAAGAGCCTCTGTGTTTCTTCAAATATATAATATCCCAACAGGTGTACATATACATACATATATATATAGTGTTCTTAGAAAAACTGCATGTGCTATAAATCAGGAGAGCCTGCTTTATGCTGCTTTTGCATAAGAATTTTCACATTATTTGTCTAGCAGTACCTGAAGCACTTCAACCTTTTCTTTATCCTTCTGATCTTTCTTGGTTTTGCTGCTTGCAGCTATTCATAAAGAAAAGTTAGTGTCACTTTGCAGTTGCCACCTGCTTTGCTCCCCATCCCTTAATACTGTAACAGAATCAATGTGCCACTTTACTTGAGTACAAGGCATTGTGTCATTCCCCCATATGTACTTCATTAAGGCTTTTTAGTTAGCTATTGGGTAGGGTTAATTTATCCTACCTTCCCTGGCTAAACTACCAGCAGACCTTCTCAACTGCCAGAGGAACATCTTTCTGCCTTTCCAGGACAGCCAGATAATGGAGTCCTAAAGTTGCTTTTAGCCTCTAGGCTATAAAGAGAGAGTTTGCTTCTCTTTCCAAACGCCCTCTTTGACATGTAGGTGTGCTGCTTTCTACTACTACTACTGCCAACATTATTATTATCCCAGTCCTACTCTCACTAGGAATGAGAGAGAAAAGGCAAAAAAAGAAGCCTGGAAAAAGTCTGTTAAAATCATGCGAACAAGCTATGCTTGCTAAGCCTTTCTTGCTTGCTGACCCCAAGCCGAAAAGATTTCTAGTGGGAAAACGTAATCTAATGACTATAAATTATTGTGTTTTCATAAAAATTTTACTCAGGCAAAGTAATAAGCTAAGAATACAATGTCAGTCCCTAGTGAATACATGGTTATTAATCTAATTTGAAAAGAGTAAAGAGCTGTTTTCCAGATTTTGTTTTCCAGTTTATTTCCAGGTTAGATCTATGCAAACCCCACCCTAGTTTTGTTCAAACAACCACAAGCATATCAACCAACTTAATTCAAAGATAATTCAACTCATTAAAATTCAATCAGTTCTGTAGTAGATAAGCAATTTCAGTTGGCTGTATGAGCTGGATTAAACTGCTGTCTTTCTCTTCTATGCAATTTTCAGAATTACCCAAACACCTGCTCCTGTCAAGGCCCTTTGCTTCCAAACCCAGATGACTATAGCAGCAAGGATGAGTGAAATTACAAACATCACAATTATATAATTAGCAATAGATGCAAGTCATGCATATCATTCATTATATGATTTTACCTTACCATGGTTCAGGCTACAATTTTCTTCAATTCGCTGCCCATCTTATCAAGATTCAGAGGAACTCCTTTAAAGCAATCTACAGAATTTTTCATTTTCTATACCAACAGGATGAATGCTGTAGGGGGCAGAGTTAACTCAGGCCAATACAAAGAAAATTAGGATATAAGTGGAAACATGTAGGTAGGGCTTCAACAGATTTACTTTTTTAAAAAGACAGCTTCTATTTCTTCCAAAAATCTTATCTAGATAAATTTTAAAGGACCTCCTCCCTGTGCTCCAGCTTTCTAAACACATTTTTTTTTAATGAAGGGGTTCTAGCGATTCAACATATGTACAAGAACCTTAGACCTTTTATCAGGAAATGACATATACCTAAAACTATAAAAACTCCTATAGCAAAACTTTATTTTGGTTGCATAGCAATACTTGCATGCATGCACCTGTAATAGATTCAAAGCCTCCATACAAAGTACTAATTTCTAATGCAGAGCTGGGCTGCACACAAGCACTGACCCACTTTTTAGAATGTACCACACCTGACCAAAACAGCAGGCAGCAATTGCCTTGCAGGTTTCAGCTGCTGTCCAGTCAGAGCACTGTGACTTACATCAGCTCCAGAAGCAGTGCTGGGTCTGGCAGCCGGGTGGGAAGGGAACTGTCACCTGCTTACCTAGCTCAGCCTAACTTGCTTTCTCTAGGAATTGACAAAACACTCAAATGGGCAGATCTTTTTAACCTCCCAATAACACTGGCCTGTTCCAGATTAAATTAATCGTCTTTCAAACAATTTTTAGAATTACCAAAACACCAGCTCCTTCCTAGCTCCCCTAATTCACCAGCCTACAAAGAAAAAACCCATTGCAGCAGGCTGTGTCCTCTATGCTGATATGCTGGCCGTGTCTCCAAGCCTATCTGCTACTACATCCTGGAAGCAGCTGCCAATCATTGAAACATGGGTTTGCAATAGGGAAGGACTGGAGAGGGGAAAATAAAAGAAAGAAAATAGAGATTTTTTTCCCCCTATAGTGCAATGTCCTACAGAGCCAAGCACAAAGTCAGAATAGTAAAAGTCACTAGATGTGCAGTAGGAAAAAAGTAAGAAAAAAGCTAGACTGCTACATGGAGATTTATAAATAATTTGTGCATTGTTTCTTTGTCAAATCTTATGCAGCACAATATGAAATCTTTATACCTGTATCTTCAGTTTTTGCACAAGAATTGTAGTCAGAGCTATGAAATGGGAGGTCAAATCTAAAGTTAAGGGGAAATTTTGGAGTTGGAGGTGCTTCAGATTTCAGGTTATGAACATATCAGACACCTACCTCAAAAATAACATGGAAACATCATCCAGTACTGATAATGTTCCCTGCTTCAGCCCTCCCTTTCTGAATTCAATTATTAACCAAACTCTTCTGTGTCTCTTGCATGAAATTTTAACCTCAAACTCTTTCTTCTTTTCATGATCTCTGATTCAAAATAAACAAAAATCAGCAACAAACAAAAAAAATCCCAAACAAACACAACAAAACCCCCACAAAAAACCACACAAACGTAACAAACCCTAACCCAGAACAACCATGTGTTAGGAACATCATTAGTCTTGAGACATCTCTTGTCAAAAAAAAAAAAACCAACCACACAAACATAACAAACCCTAACACAGAACAAACGTGTTAGGAACATCATTAGTCTTGAGACATCTCTTGTCTGTCAGATTTGGTTGAAATAAGGCATGTCCCA